GTAACTGAACTGGGTGCTAGAAGGTCGGTCAATAGCTGTTATGGATAGATCGAGTTCAATGCAATAAAGTTGATGGTCGGAGAAGGCCGGCCCATGGTTTGCAGAGAGTCGGATAACGATTTATCACGGCAGCAATTTAGAACAAAGCTGTCTGCATTGCACGGGATAACGTCGAGGTTGGCGTCGATCAGCTGTTCAAAGTTGTATTGGGAAAGGATTTTCAGTATTTCCTATTCATAGGAGTTCGCAGAAGACATTGCAATCCAGTTAGTGGACGTGAAGTTGATGTCGCCACATATAATTGTGAATGAGCATTTCAGAGTGGATTGAGCCCTTGCCAAGTCGGGGACTAATGAAGAGAAGTCGGCTAGTGACCAGTGGTAAAAACTGGTGGATGGAGGGTTGTAAATACAGCAAACAATGAAGTTGACCGCACCGACACTACTCATAACAGATACACAATCGTTGTACTGGCGAGAGAGTTGCACAACATCCGCCTTTAACCAGTCATCAATGCCGATTAGGACACCCCCATGACGGCTACTGCCAGTATGACGGTGATCACGGTCACGTCTGAAGATACGATAACCAGGAAGAAATATGGCGGCATCCGTAACGGACTCAGTGAGCCATGTTTCGGTCAAGGCAAACATAGTAACCTGGCGAGTCATTATGGCGTTGGCAAATAGCATTCGCCTTGACAGATGTAGTAAACTGCGAATGTTATACGAGACTAGGTTGATAGTTGATTTGACTACTTGGGTTGGCGGTGACGGGAGTCAACATTCCACTACACTCCACCTGTTATCAATTTTCTGTTCCAACGAAAGATCTCGGATACGCAAGCTCTTGCGTTCAGTACCTTGTCCGATCAGTTCACGTCTCTTTAGCAGTAGAGCATTTTCACGTTGAATTTCAGCAGGAGATAATTCCTTGTCAATAAATATTTGGTTTTCATAGTCTTTCAGTTTGGATCTGGAGAGTAGGGCCAGACGAGGCTGCCATGCGTTCGAAAATTTGACCAGTAGTGGACGACATCTATTCTTCTCGAATTTCCCAAGGCGCCGTATATCTGCGATGTCAGCATTGGACCCTAGCAAAAATTGCAAAAGCTTTCGAGCTTCCTCCATATCACTTTTATAGCGTTCATGATGATTTGGTTTATCTACCTCCGGAATGCCTCGAACACGTATACCAGTGTCGGTTGACATTAAAGGAGATGTAGCGTGAGGAGGCGCTACAGTGGTGACAGCAGAAGTAGATAGAGGGGGGTAGACCAGTACACTGAACCGACAGGTGCATTACCTTTCCGCAACAGACACATAAAAATACATCGTCTGCCATTTCGATCCCGGTCTTGCACGTGGAACAGTTGCGAGGTTGGTGGACAGGTGTGGAGCCAGTGTTGGTATCCTCGCTCATTGTCATATATGAAACTGTTTAATAAGTTTAAGAACAAACCATTCTGATCCAATAATTTCCTAAAACTTCAAATTTGTTAGAGTTCGTTTAAAATCCATTACAAAAGATTATAATGCAACACGATCTGTATAAAGTTTTTCCAAATTCTCAGTAAACTTGGAAGCTTTTCGCAGTACTCAGAGTCTAATCCTAATCACTAAACCTACTCACGTTTACTTAACTTTTTCAAAACGATGTCACTCACATTTGTAACGCTCTTCTTATTTTTAAAACCCAATTGAAAACACCCATACTTAACCACATCCCCAACAACTTCTTACAACTTTTTACACGCTATTTCTTAATATCAGTTAAACAGTTGCAATATTCAATTTTTAAATATACAGGGGCGAAATTTGGGAAAATCCAGGTCCATGGTTAAAAAATGTTACAACCTAGTTTAATTCATTATATTTGGTTAAAATGGATTAGAATGAGTTCTATTTTCTTTGATTTATACCTGAATTCTTATAACAGATTTTAGGGAAAAATAACACAACAATTAATTTTAATTGATTATCTTCCATTGAACCAACCCCCTAGCGGGCAAAAGTATAGGTAGCTCATCTATTTTGTTCCTAACAGAGTCTCTAGTTGGTTGAAATAAAATGTCGAATGTAGTATGCATGACTTGCTTACGCCTAAAATTATATTTAGAAGCAAGCTGAACAACATTCTTAGACCAAATTAGCGGCTACTAGAAGTCCTTTTGTAAACCGTTTCGCCAAAGTGTTTTCAACGCGCCCCAAAGCCTCAAAGTTGCAACGCGCCTCAAAGCCTTTTCTTATTTGCACTCCGTTAGGTCATTTTTTAAGCTACACTGAAACTCAAGGTATTAAATTGCGCTTTTAGTTTGTTCTTTTTTCGCGCTACACCTCAAAAAACGTGTTGCCGCGCGGCGGCTGAGATAGTTTTTTTTTATTTTGAGTCGCGCCGCCAACGTCTTTTCCTAAGTGACATCGCTAAAGTCATTATTCAAAGTAGCGCCACTATAGTCCTTACTTAGGATTCCGATAGTTACACTTGGATCGTTACGTAACCATGCGAGAACAACAAACCTTTTTGTTCTCGCCACCAAGTTGGTCCCCACCAACTTGGTGACTCGCATAGCCAGCTTCAGACTCGCTTTTGTTCACGAGTTTGTTCAAACCTTAGATTATTTTTTTAAGCCGACTGCTTTTTAGCTCTTTTAACAGTCTCGTTAGGAAAAATTGAGTTCGATTTGAAATTATCCAATTGCAAGCTAGCTGCTCCAATTATCATTACTACAATAAAAACAAGCTCTACTGAGCTCGTTTTTTTTATGAAAGTTTTTAAATTTATCCGGGAAGATTTTTCCATATTTTGTTTCTTTCAATGGAACATAAGACGCAGTTAGGTCTGCCAACGATTGCTGACGACATACACACTGGGCTTGGTCACTTTTCCAACGACTAAATATTCGGCTCGAAAAAAACTTCTCGCCGCCAAAAGAAACCTCTCTCCAGTTGCGCCACTAGAATATTCTCTTATGTCGTGTTCTTTGGCGAGCTTCACGTGGAGGGGTTCAACTTGACTGTTCCGGAAATCCGTTTTTTTTTGCAAAATGCTTTTTTTAATGTCTTTTTTCAAAAAAGCATAACTTTTCACCAGCATTAGCATTTTCTATTGGTCAGATGGGGCTTAGGTATTATTCAAGGAATTCTTGACGACTCTAGCCTAGCCTGTCAGATGCACATCTAAAAAAAAGCTGTTAAAAATAAGGAAAAAAATTTACGATTATTCAAATTTTTACCAAAATGCTAGAAAAATTATTAGAACAAATTTCGGTGGCGTTGGATAGAACGCTTTTTTTGTAAACTTGATGCTTAGTTATTGCCCTGAGGCCCAATGAGGCCAAACGGTGTATTTTGTGAATTTAAAATACCTACCGCAACAAGGACGCCCTTTTTGTTCTTCTTTTGTTCTTTCGTTCTCTTTGATCGTTTCCAAGAAATTTGGACATGTTTATAGACTTGTCTCTGGATTCCTCAGACCTACAAACACCAAAGTATCCAGTGCACAGTTTGGTCTCCTAATGTATTTTTAAAAAAATTTATGTTAGATTTTAAGATTAAAAAATAATTTTCAGTTTTCTCTATGAGCTATGGTTATTTTATGATTCTTAATTATTCAATTGTTCATAATGATAACGTTAAGAGAAAATTTGTCGAGCCTCAATTTTTTTGTTTTTCATTCTTTAGTTTTTATATGAAAATTGGACCAAAATGTGGATCTGTATTTTCTATTTTTTTTCGCAAAACAAGCAATTTCCTGATAAATCAGGGATTCAGAAAAAATCTAAGACTATGAGAGATGAAAACAACAACTTTTTGAAATGAAACAGTATCTCAAACTTTAGAATATAGATAAACTCGTTTAGGAATCAAGAACATTACAAAGCTAAGGCTTAGTCATGATGATTGCTTAAATTTTGTGGCGCCTATTAGGGTACAAGCTTGTTTGCAGATACTATTTTAGAGCACTGGGGAAAAACATTTCTTTTTTTAGTCTATTGATCTCTCGGGGAAGACCTGCGCTACGCATACACTTGCGTTTCAGAAAAAATTTTAATTCCCTTTTTCGTTCAAGTACAAAAAAGTTCATTATATCATTACTATCAAAAGACTTGTAGAAAGCAATAAAACTCTCGAAATCACAAACTGAGGCAGGGGCGGATTTAGGTGGGGGCAGAGGATATGGACGCCCCCTTTTCTCAGGGATTCGACCATTTTTGACCCAAAAAATCCCCCTTTGTACTATTTTGAGATATCCATTTTGGTGACTGAACCTAAAAATTTTCTAAAAGCGCCGTCTGCGCCAATTTAGCCAATTTATACTAACTTGAGAGAGGAGCGCAATTTTTTCGGACTTTTTTTTGAAAATTTTGCCTGCGGTGCAGAAAAATTGGCCAAAACAGGGTATTTTTAGTGCTTTTTGAGAGAGAACTCGGAAATTCAGTTTGGTCGACTCAAAAAAAGGACGACAAAATTTTTTGAAAATCCGACCCACATCGAGAAAATCCTACGGAACCTGAATGGAGAACGTCAATGTTTCGCCAAAAAATGTTTGAACTGAGTTCATTATTGTGCTGAAAATTGTAAGATGTTCGGAGTTTTTTACATGACACTTTTAAGATAAAATTATTAATATAAAATCTGACCTACTCACATTTTTATTTTCGATATTTGCGTTAGCCGCTTACGCGTTGATTTCAACTTTCTTGCAAGGACAAGCCTTGCTAACATAGCTCCAAGAGTTTTTTTAACAATTTTTATTGGACATTTTTGTATCAAAACATACAAATCAGAACTCATTGGTTTCCTTACATTGCGCAACATAATTTAACTCAATCCAAATGGGCGTGCAAATGAGTTTGGTTCCATATTATAAACTCACAACACTCTTCAAATATCAATTCAGTTAAATATTTTTTTCTCTAATGTGAGTCAGTTTTTATTAGTTGCTCTATTTGAGTTTATTTTATTTCACATTTTCATGTGTCGAATTTCGACTGCTGGTTAGTATTCCTCCTGCTCCTCTTCGCCCTCTTGTTCAGTCGAGTCCAGGCCAACTTCCTCGTAGTCTTTTTCCAGAGCAGCCAGATCCTCCCTCGCCTCCGAGAACTCTCCCTCTTCCATACCCTCTCCCACGTACCAGTGGACGAACGCTCTCTTGGCGTACATCAAGTCAAATTTATGGTCCAGTCTTGCCCATGCCTCTGCAATTGCAGTCGTGTTGTTCAACATGCAAACTGCCCTCTGGACCTTTGCCAAGTCACCACCAGGTACCACAGTCGGAGGCTGGTAGTTGATGCCGACCTTGAAGCCAGTGGGACACCAGTCGACGAACTGGATCGTCCTTTTAGTTTTTATTGTCGCTATTGCAGCGTTCACATCTTTAGGCACTACATCACCTCTGTACAGCAGACAGCAAGCCATGTACTTTCCATGTCGGGGATCGCATTTTACCATCTGGTTTGCGGGTTCGAAACACGCATTGGTGATTTCGGCAACCGTCAGTTGTTCATGGTAAGCCTTTTCGGCCGAGATCACAGGTGCGTAGGTTGCCAAGGGGAAATGAATCCTAGGATATGGCACCAGATTTGTTTGGAACTCAGTCAAATCTACATTCAGAGCTCCGTCAAATCGAAGTGATGCCGTGATTGAAGAAACAATTTGACCTATCAGCCTGTTCAAATTGGTGTATGTCGGTCGCTCTATGTCCAAGTTACGACGACAGATGTCGTATATTGCCTCATTATCAACCATGAAAGCACAGTCCGAATGTTCCAGAGTTGTATGAGTAGTCAGGATCGAATTATAGGGTTCCACGACGGCTGTCGAAATCTGAGGAGCCGGGTAGACTGAGAACTCCAGCTTCGACTTTTTGCCGTAGTCTACCGAGAGACGTTCGAGAAGGAGGGAGGCGAATCCCGATCCAGTGCCGCCCCCAAATGAATGGAAAGCCAGAAATCCCTGCAGCCCCGTGCACTGGTCGGCCAGTTTTCGGATTCTGTCCAGCACCAGGTCCACAATCTCCTTGCCGACGGTGTAGTGACCTCTGGCGTAGTTGTTGGCGGCGTCTTCTTTTCCGGTGATCAGTTGTTCCGGGTGGAACAATTGCCGGTAGGTGCCAGTTCGAACTTCGTCTAAATACCAATCTGATCTACAATTCTGATTCGTATTTAAGTGTGGCAATCTGGAATAAATTCTGATCAACATCTCAAAACTTCATGATTGTTTTTTTTTTGCAAGCCTGATAACCTGTGTCCCTGTTTTGGTATTTACTTGAGGTTCGTGTTAGGTGCTGACAGATAAATAAAATATTAAGCAAACATATTACCTATTCTCTCGTATACTCACCAATGACAGTGGGCTCCAGATCAATGAAGACAGCCCTGGGAACGTGTTTTCCCGCCCCAGTCTCGCTAAAGAAAGTGTTGAATGAGTCGTCTCCCCCCCCGATCGTCTTGTCACTGGGCATCTGGCCGTCCGGCTGGATCCCGTGTTCCAGGCAGTACAACTCCCAACAGGCATTGCCAATCTGACAGCCGGCTTGTCCAATATGAACAGAGATGCATTCGCGCTGAACAAACAGACTCGCTTTGATAAATCTCGCAACACAATTTCATCATTTTACATTTTTTATGGTTCTGTTTGAAATAAAATTAATCAATTTAATTTCTTCTTTTCCCTGTGCACAACAAAATTACATAGCTGTGTTTTTGTTCTCGATTGATTATGATAAATTCTTCAGTTCTATGATTATTGCAAATGGGGAGGAGAAAACATAACTTACCATTTTGTATTTCTAAAACAGTGAATTTGAGATACTTTTCAACTATTGTTTGAGCGAAAATGAGTTCAGAATGATTTATCTGGGCAAAGTGACAAAATCGCGGTAATTTGTTGACTTCTGCAAGAGGGAAGTTAAAATGTTTTCACGCGAGTTTCGCAAATTAAGGACCTTTTAAAATAAGAAAAAAAGTCACATATCGTAGGATGATAAAAAATTTGACTTAAATTTAATTGTTTCCGCATTTTCAAGTCTGTTAAAGCAACCACTAAAACCTAACATGTGGGGAAAAACATCTCGGTTGTATTACTTTAGAGCCCTTTTTCTTTGTACAAACTCACATGCAAACTTAGCTCTTTTCCATAGCCTTGTCCATAGTTAAAGTTTGAAAACAAATATTTTTATAGAAACAGATATAGAATTTTTGCATAATGAGCAAAGCAACTAAGGGAAGGAAAAAGAGCTAAATAATTTTTGGGTTTGCATTGTCCGATTGTTACAAAAAGTGGCATGCCGATTAGTAAGTTCTTCATTTGTTCTTCATATTTGACCTTATAAAACCACTCGTTACACAAAAAAATTGATGCTCATGTGAGGTGGGAGGAGGAGGAAACATAATAATTCTTTTCCCATTATAGCTAGTCAAGGGCGGATCTAGGATTTTCTCGAGGGGGGCGGATTTTCAAAAAAAAATTTGAAAATTTTGTCGACCTTTTAGGTCGACCAAATTGATTTTTCGAGCTCTCCCAAAGCACTGTTTTATTCCAATTTTGGCCAAATTTTCTGCGCCGCAGGTGAAATTTTGAGAAAACAGGCCAAAAAAAAACGGCGTTTTTAGGCCTTTTTTGGAAAAATTTGACCAAAAAATCGCGTTTTTTCGGCGCGCGCTCCCCCCTCAAAACTAGTATATATTGGCGCCGAAGGCTCCTTTATAAAATTTTTGGGGTCCATCATCAAAAATGGATATCTCAAAGTAGTACAAAGTCGAATCCCTGAAGGAGGCGTCAGCCCCCTCGCCCCCCCCCCCCCCCCCCCCCTAAATCCGCCCCTGTAGCTAGTGCAAAAAAACACATGCTTAGTCCAGAAAATTTTCCAGTGCAAAAAATATAATCATACTCTAGCAGTATTTTCGGCAATACAATTTCCTGGGTACTGTAATGGAACAAAACCCTTTTTCTGAAAACATTTCAAAACATTTCTGACGTTAAAAGAAGGGAGGATTTCATAAAAAGCCGAGAGTTTGGCTATAGGTCTTTTTCCCACACATGCAATTTTTTACTGAAAAAAATTTGTTCATATTGTCCGATTGTTATAAAAAAGACTACCTGAGTTAAAACTTGGCTCTATTCCAGATTCCCCCTACCTCTCATTTCAAGTTAAAACTACTTAAGCATTATGCTAATGCAATAAAACTTGGCATGGTGAGCAAGAAAAAAATGTGAGCAGATTTTTTCTTAATACCTTACATATTAACATTGCGCGTTTAGCTGATCAATGCACATAAAAATTTTTTTAGAAAAGAACAAGACTGCTCGTATCAGGGCGATGCCCTGAATGTTCCGACTGCCTTTTGATAGTACTGCTAGTAATAACAAAAAAAATTAAATGTAAAAAAAACAAAATGAAAATATTTTTTCTAAAATTTGAAATTACACGCCATATAAAGTACAAAAGGGTAGACTTTGCTCATTATAACAAATCAGTTATGGCAAGTAAGCTTCTTTCAACCACCAACTTTGAACGATTTCCAAGACGAATTAAATCTCCGCTTACGCGTTAATAGCGCGAAATATATCTTATGAAATGGCAATCTTTAAACCCCCACAAATTTACGGAAAATGGTCACAGGTGAAATATTTTTTCCAATTTAAGCTCAAGACAACATTAGCTTTCAAATGAAAAAAAAAATCCGTCAAAAATGGCTAGTTAAAAAGTCGAAATTTGTCTGAAAGGAAAAACAAAACCCACTCCGAGAACAAATATTTCATTACTTTCGTATCGAAAGTCGGAACAAAAATTGAAAAATGGGGGAACGCAAAAAGTCGAGAACTTTAAGCGAGTCAATTGTGTTAACATAATGTGGTTTTGTAACCTTATTGAGTTAACATTATTTTTTGCTTCGTGGCTTATGAAAAGATTGGTGTAATTAGTGGTGAACAAGCTTTCGGTGATTGCAATACCGGGCAGGATGGCGGGGGCAGCCGGCCGCCGCTCAATTCTGGTTGCCAAAAATTTCCAAAGGATTCCCCTTTGGCATAGTTTTACGAGATCCATTTTTAGCTGGCCCATCTCAAAACTGTTTCAAGGGTGCCTTTGGCGCCAATATAACTAAATTAAATTTGAAAATGGCTCAAAAGGTCATTTTTTGCATTTTTTTTCAAAAGTTTTGGAATCAGTTCTAAACTAGTATTTAGTTACCAATTATATTATTGATAAATTATAACTATAAAACATTACTAACTAACCAATCATATTCCATCTCTAACATTAACGCTTATTTGTAAGTGCTGAAACTACTTGTCGTTTCAGCACCAGAACAATTTAAATAAAACTTTGAATACAGTTGTTCTTGATAAACTCGCGAAAAGAACTAACACGCATAAACCAGCATACACTAGATCTATTGAGACTAGGAGATTTAAGAGTAAAATTAAGAGGGGTATTAGAATAAGAAGTTGAACGAATCTATCCGGCCGAAAATAAGATAGCGTGACGAGCAGACGGTATACCAAAACACTTCTTACAAAACACTTCTTACGAAACAAAACACTTCTTAGATACTTCAGAAAGTTTAATAAAACATCTATAAACAAGAATATCAAATTTTTAGAATACCAAACATCTGAATTAAAAGTACCCTGCTTACCACTAAGTATGATACTCCTAGCATTTCACATTTCACATTCCTTAAAAACAAAACAAAAAGACATGCAGGATCAGAAAATACATGCTCAAATTTTATCCAACAATTATGTAACGACTGCATAACATGCCAGTTAAAAAACCATACCCACATCAGAAACAGATAGCAGAAAAACAAAATTTTAAATGACAAAGTATGTATTTTAACCACAGAATCTCATTTGATACAAAAGGACCGATATCACCCTCTTCAGAAGGAAACTCATATAAAACGGTTATAGTTGATGCATTTACATACTATGTAGCACTCAACCCAGTACCTCATTGGAATCCCTATTCTGCATATACAAAACTTTACGAACACTGGAAAGCAAAATTTGGATTACCAGAAATCGTTGTCACCGATAATGGCACTATATTCAAAAATAATGAAATCATCATATTATGCCATCTATACAACATTAAACAAAAACCACAAACGTCTAATGCCCCATGGACTAATGGTTTTTTTGAAAGAATGAACCGTTCACTACAAGAGTACCTCAGATGTGTCATAAATGGAAATGATACGAAATACACTGAATGGTCAACAGATTTGAAATTATTCCCCTTAACTTATAGTTCACAGATAACAGTAACTCTAAAAATATATCATTATGAAATGGTTTTCTATCAGAAACCACGGAAACCAATAAGATTCACAGCAAATTCCTCAAAAACACAAAAGACTTTTGCCAGCCTACTAAAGAATCAATTTGTTATAATTTACCATTACACACGCAGGATGAAGATCATTTTCATCACCCACAAATCTTGAAATTAGCTTCCGGCACCCATACTGAATGGCTTCTAAAAAGAGATAAAAAACATTGAAATTTGTCGAAAAAAATAGCAAAAAACTATTACAAAGACAGAATATTCAATCACAAATTAATTCACGATTCACACCAGCTAGAAACCTAAAAATTGGAACATATGTCTTAATACCAAAATTTTCCAAAGGATTCCCCTTTGGCATAGTTTTACGAGATCCATTTTTAGCTGGCCCATCTCAAAACTGTTTCAAGGGTGCCTTTGGCGCCAATATAACTAAATTAAAAAGGTCAATTCTTGCATTTTTTTTTTCAAAAGTTTTGGAATCAGTTCTAGACTAGTATTTAGTTACCAATTATATTATTGATAAATTATCACTATAAAACATTACTAACTAACCAATCATATTCCATCTCTAACATTAACACTTATTTGTAAGTGCTGAAACTACTTGTCGTTTCAGCACCAGAACAATTTATATAAAACTTTGAATACAGTTGTTCTTGATAAACTCGCGTAAAGAACTAACACGCTTAAACCAGAATACGCTAGATCTATTGAGACTAGGAGATATAAGAGTAAGATTAAGAGTGGTATTAGAATAAGAAAATGAACGAATCTATCCGGCCGAAAATAAGATAGCGTGACGAGCAGACGGTATACCAAAACTTCTTACGAAACAAAACACTTCTTAGATACTTCAGAAAATTTAATAAAACATCTATAAACGAGAATATCAAAATTTTAGAATAGCAAACATCTGAATTAAAAGTACCCTGTTTACCACTAAGTATGCTACTCCTAGCATTTCACATTTCACATTCCTTAAAAACAAAACAAAAAGACATGCAGGATCAGAAAATACATGCTCAAATTTTATCCAACAATTATGTAACGACTGCATAACATGCCAGTTAAAAAACCATACCCACATCAGAAACAGATAGCAGAAAAACAAAGTTTTAAATGACAAAGTATGTATTTTAACCACAGAATCTCATTTGATACAAAAGGACCGATATCACCCT